GTTACTGGCAGCCATGGCCCCCTGCATGAAGTCACTCTGCACCATCTTCACCGTGGGGTCCCCCCGGTAACCGCCCGACACCGAAGTCACCGCCGCGCTGCCGGGCTGCATGCCCCCTCCTCCCCCCGAGTCCGAGTGCACGATGGAGCCGGGGGACAGGATGCTGTTGCTGGGGAGGTAGGGGTTAGAAGCAGCCGTGGCCATGGCTTCCCCCCTGCCCGTTGCTATCCACAGGTTTGGGGCTTCCTCTTCTCCTCCCCCGCAGCCCGAGAACGCTTCCCCCTTGAGATGCACTTTTGTCCTTGGAGGAGAAGCCCTGTGCCAGTATCTCCAGGCGAGGGCTTCCACCCTCCTCCCCGTACCGCTCACTTCACCTGTTAGCGGATCCCACTGACAGAGAACGGCCCCCCCCCTCCTCGTCCCCGGATCCAGCACAAAACGATCACTGCCTTGGTGCGCCTGATCTCCTGGGCATTCGAAGGGAGCTTCTGCCTCACAACTTGGCTCGATAGATCCCAAACTTCCTGTGCGGACGACGATGAGGATGATGATGACAGCAACGCATTACATAAAGTTACTGTGCCAGAGCAGCTGGTCCCCCATGGAGCAGAAGGATGCCGGTGTGTGCGCTGGGAGTGGATGGCGGTACATGGTCCTCTTATTGCATGGGGACTGCTCAGCTGTGTGCCCCCGCTGCAGGGAAGCAGTACATTGCCAGGCTGTGTGCTGGGATCCCTCCTTTACACACTAACTCCACTGTATCTTGGCTGGGTTGGGTTGCACTAGAGGCGCTGATCAGCCTCCCCCTCTCTCTCTCTCTCTCTCTCTCTCTCTCTCTGACAGCTTTGTGTGTCCCTCCCTCACTGAGCGGGGACTGGAGAATGTTTACCCTGCACGGAGCGCGCACACCACCACACTATCCCAAATACTAGGAAGCCGAGTGTAGGGCCCCCACTGATTGGTTCCACGCTGGGTGATTGACACCGAAGCATTGACTGGCTCAAGAGGCGCACCCCCCTTCCTCCTCCTTCCGGCCGTTCCCATTGGTTGCTTTTTAATTTAGGCAAAGTGTCGTAGATGCTGGGAATCTGGACCCCCTTAAAACACACATTTCCATCCACACTGCTGTGTCTCCCTTCAACTTAACTCCTGGGACCGACCAATGAGCCTCACTTCCAGGCTCCAAAAAGGATTAGGAATTAAGGTGATGTCATCGGACAGCAGATCTCCTCTACTGATCTACTATCTCTGTGTGTGAGTGTGCATATAAATATAGATATATATCTATATCTATATACACACATACACATTACTTACATAGGTGAATGATCAATACATTGGGATCTAGTACTGATGTTGGATCTAATATAATATATTGTATCCTAATATATATAAATGTATATATATATAGATATAGATATATATCTATATATCTATATATATAGATAGATATTAGAATACAAGAAAGGAGACATCAGCAACTAGATACCAAGTAAACGTATTGATCATTTACACGTGTAATTACTATGTGTGTAAATATATATATTTATATATATGTATACACACACACACACACCATATACACTTACAGTATCTACATGTGTGAATGATCAATACATTTACTAGTGCTGACACTATCTATCTATCTATCTATCTATCTATCTATCTTTCTATCATCTTTCTATCTATCTATCTATCTATCTATCTATCTATCTATCTATCTATCATCTTTCTATCATCTTTCTATCTATCTATCTATCTATCTATCTATCTATCTATCTATCTATCTAGATATACATATCTATCTATCTATCTATCTATCTATCTATCTATCTATATAGATATGTATATTTATTATATGTAATATATGTATTAAGGATAGAAAGGTGACATCAGCACTAGATCCCAAGTAAATGTCTTGGATATTCTGTATCTCTTTCTATAAATAAAATAGTATCTTTTTTAATGTCAGTAATCCATATTTTAGACAATGTGATTATTTTGCCCGGGTGTGTGTATAAGGAGGGGATCCCCTATAACTAATGTGCAGGAAAAGGTTAACGTCTTCAAA